AAAAAAAAAAAAAAAAAAAAAAAAAAAAAAAAAAAAAAAAAAAAAAAAAAAAAAAAAAAAAAAAAAAGATCCAGAGTTTACAGAATATTAATTAGGGTGCTCTCTGACCATGACACCTGGCTGGCATACGGGCCCGAGACACAGATGTTGCAGCTGGCCTGACCTGCCCCTGCCAACTGGAACTGCTCCAACCAGAGCGGCCAGAGTGGGACTCGTTGCCAGCAGCTTCACACCCTGTATAGGATGCTGCGTCCTAAGGTAACCCTAAGAGATATTGTGCAGCCTAGGTGAATGAAACACTAGGCTGAATGAAACACTTGAATGTGGCCCTGTGGGAGCTGAAGCACTGCCTTCTCTCAAATGGTTCAATACCATATTAAAGTCTAAACCAGCCAAAGTGGCTTCACTACAGTGCAGATTGAGTCGCAGGTATATTATTAAAAAAAAAAAAAGAAAAAAAAGACCGAGCACCTCTGTCTGCCCACAAACCACTGGCTGATCGCCAGAACAAACTTGGAACAGAAAGGCTTAGCTCTGCCATCATGATAAGTGCAAAATTCTGCCACTTGGCATATTACCTGGCCCGAAAATTCCCGGAAATGATTGTCAATGAAGTTGAATGAACACATATTTCTCAAGTGCCCGCTGGCTGTGGGGTTGTGGAGGTGGTGGGGACCACATTTGGAGACAGCTAGATGCGGCCCACCAATGGCCTTGGAGCTTGAAGCGCTGCTGTGTGATTCCTGGCAACCAGAGCAGGCAATTCGCCAGCAACATGTTCAGGATTGGCTGCTGAAGGGCAATAATGGGGGCCCTCTGGTGGCGCCGCCACACCTTCGAAATGGGATGGCGTGCGCCTGGAAGGGCCGGTTTTCACGGACTCAATTGAACAGCAAATCCAAACAGATATAATAACCAAATGGGATCTGGGAAAGGAGAAGATGGCATATTTGCACTCAAAGAAGGAAATCCAGGCCCACAATCAACCAATTCAGCATGGACTACTGGGTGGGGAGCAAGGGGGCTGGGTCGCAGAGGTGGTGTGGCAAGGGGGACAGGGGGCAGACCAGATGGAACTGGTGCGGGACTACCTCCTCCTCTTCCACGATTGGACCAAGATTGATGCCTCCATTCCAATGCCCCCCCCCCCCAAAGATTTCCCGGACCCCTTTCCCCCCTCCCCATTATCCCTGGTTACAATGCAGGAGGCTGAGTGAGGGAGAGTTCGCAAACCCACCAAACCCCTGTCCTTCCCTTTCCAAAACCCGCCCCCCTCCACCAAGGTGCTCAGTGGAATGAGGCAGTCGGGGTCAGAATAGGTGTGTTCAGGAGGCACAGCAAGGGGTTAGGGTTTAGGGGTTAGGGTTTTAGGGGTTAGGGTTTAGGGGTTAGGGTTTTAGGGGTTAGGGTTTAGGGGTTAGGGTTTTAGGGGTTAGGGTTTAGGGGCTAGGGTTTGGGAGGGATGGAAACCAGAGAGGACAGGGTAGCAGCTGTAGTTCTGGCGGCCCATGACAGGCACAAATGGTCAATTGCTGTTTTATATGTTTTTTATTTTTATTTTTTGGATTTTGTTTTGCAGTTAGTTAGTATGGTCTCCACTCTACGAATTGGTGGCAAGTTTGATTAAAATGACCCTTTGGTTTTCATATAAATGGCATGGCAAGTGGTCTGAAAATTAGGGTCTCCGTTAACCTTCTCTCGTGAAGAGGTGCTAACAATATATGCATGCTCAATGCTTCATTTTTTTCCCAATACGCTCAAATGTACAAATGTGCAATGGGACGCTGGACGCGGTTTCCAGCAGGTGAAGCTCCCCACAAATAGATGGAGCAGCGGGCGCCAGGCAGCCATCTTACTGGGGGGGGCAGCTCGTATCACGCCCCCTAGTAAGCCCCAGACGGCTTTCCAAAAAAAAAAAGGAAGTGTCCCTCCACTGTCCAGAGTGTCCCCGGGCGGGTGCAAGGAGCACGGTTAAGAAGACTCTAGGCTATTCATGGGTTGCAGCATGTGCTGGGAACCGGGCCCAGCATCCCGGACTACAAGTATTAAGCTTAAGATATGGTAAATCAAGTGCCCAGATCGAAACAGGAAAACAGGACAGCATTGATTTGTTTGAAATTGTTGTAGTTCTTGTCAAGGGACCATGATTTTTTTTTTTTATTATTTTTTTTTCCTTGCCGCTAAGTGTAACCTTTGCTTTTAATTTTTATTCCACTAGTACTTTTGGCCCTTCACTTGCCGAGCCTGGAAGCGCCCTGCATGCCAAAAAAATACAGCCTCCTTTGGCTGTGACACACTTTTAGTTTGAAATAGGCAAGAAAAGACGAAGTGGCGCCGGTGTCATGGTGTGAGTTTCGAAATGTGCAAGTTTTAATTTAGCGGGGGTCTAAAACTGCTTCAGTAAAAATTACCCGCAGTGACGCTTGGCAGATTTAGGAGGGTCGCCATTTTGCTCCATAATTTCGGGAACGGCTAAAGTTGCCTATGCCGAACTTTGGGTGTGACTTCAAC